AAATCCACCTTTTAACATTGATAATCATGTAAAGGAATTGTTTGAAAAACAAAGTCATATATAAGTAAAGGAGCTAATTTTCTCCAAAGCAGTTTTAATTTTGTCAATTAAATGTTAGAGAACACATTTCAAAGTGGTGTCATTGTCTATTAACTCTTTGACTATCCATCATTATAGAGCAGACTAAATTGTCAATGAGTTATTTGTAGATGGAGCCAGAAAAACTATACCATTATTATATAAAAAATGTTTATATGTTTTACCATGTCAAATAAGAAAAGTGAGGCAAACAAAATGAGGACAAGCTACTGAGGTAGGAGAAAAGTATAAAGCCATGGGGAAAAGTGGGAATGGGATCACTGATTTGCATTTTGGGAATTACTACCTGATTCATCTTGAGATTCTTCATCTGTGCTCTGACTATCCTGGAAGATTTTAGGTGCAGTTTTATAAGATTTTCAAGATCTATATTGAGTTCTTAGAGTTTAGCCTAGTAATGATTCCTGTACATTGAGTCACAGGGCACGTAAAGGTCATAAAAACTGTCAATGGCTTTATGTTATTTCTAATACATTTCTATACTAGGTGACATTAAGAATAAAAACAGTCAATTGCTGAGCTTTGGCACAATTGTGTAGTCCTCTGTTAGACTGCTGGCCTGATAAGTTCTTGAAAATTATAAAAATAAAAACTAGTCATAGATTTTATGTATATTAATTCATTTTTCTCTAGTATTTATGTATTCAGCAGATACAGAGTTGAATCTTGAGGACATTTATGTATGGTGAGAGATGGGCTGTATTGGTGCAGAAAAAACTCTTACTTAGGCAACTAAAATAGCTTCTGTTTCTACTATTACTCTCCAAATGTTTGTTTTCTGTATAGAAGTTTGAATAATCTTTTTAAAATTATTTTTTTAAGACACAGGATCTTGTTCTGTTTCCCAGGTTCAGTGAAGTGGTGAGTGATCATTGCTTACTATAGCCTTGGACTCTTGGGCTCAAGCAATCCTCCTGCCTCAGCCTCTGAATAGCTAGAATGACAGGGGTATGCCATACACAGCTAATTTCTCTTTTTATCTTTTGTAGAGCTGGGGTTTTGCTATGCTGTCCAGGCTGGTCTGGAACTCCTGGCCTCAAGCAATCCTCCTGCCTTTACCTTCCAAGTTTCTGGGATTACAGGCATGAATTACCATGCTAGGCTAGAATAATCTTCTAATAAGTAAAATGGAGATTATTTCATTTCCATCTGCAAAATCTTCCAAAGACTTCCCATCACATTCAAACTAAAATCCAAATTCCTAACCATGTCCAACATAAACCTTACATGATCTTGCCTTTTTCTATCTCTCTGACCTCATCTTACATCACCCTTAGTGACTTACTCTGGTCTTGTGACACTGACATGCTTCTAGTTCTTACAGTTTTCCAATTACGTTCTCCCATCAATTGCAAGTGCAGTACCCTCAGCTTGGATCTCTTTTCCTACATATCATTGCATAGCATACTCCATTTCATTCTGATTTTTGCTTTGACCTCATTAGTCACACTGCAATCTTTCCTCAATCTCTAAAAATAAAACAACCCTGTCTTGCTAATCAGTCTTCATCTCCTTACCCTGCTTCATTTTTCCTTAGGGAACATACTACTAACTACAGTTGTATAAATATATTATTTTATTTTCCATCTTGGCATGTACTCTCCATGAGGTTAGGAACACTATCAGCTTTATGCACTGAAAGGTAGGTTCCTTCAATGCTGCCTAGAACTTAGCAGAAGCTCTTTTTGTTGTTGCTGTTGAAAGATTGAATGAGCTAATAAATTAAAATATAAAATAAAGTGTCTAGTAGTAGCCATATAAAAATAAAATGACTGCATGAATAGACATAATCATTAAACATTATGAATGTTATATAAGAAATTTAAGGAAACTATAATGCAGAGTTCTGATTTATTTTGAAGATCTCTCATAAGTTACGCTGAGGAGCAGATATTTAAATAGTAACCTGAAGAATGAGTGTGAATTATTTTCGAAGAGTGGAAAGAAAAGCAGGAAAGGTAGAAACCTACATAAAATCTCTGAAGCTAGAAAACCTTATTGATGAAAGATCTTCATTAATGTGAGGAAAGCTTAGGTTGTCAACAAAAAAGAAAAACCAAAATTTTAAAATTTCAACACAAATAACAAGCAATAAGGAAAGAAATGAATTAGAAGATTTAAACTAAAATTATATAATGGCTTAATCCTGATGGAGTGTTTGTTTTTTAACTTTTTTGATGGGGTATATTGCCAAATTATATATAAAAATACATATTTACATATAAAAATTTTTTTAATTGTTAAAAGTGTATGCACTATCTATCTATATGTTTCTTTTTTCTTTCTTTTTTTTTTTTTTTTTTTTTGAGAGAGTCTCACTCTGTTGCCTAGGCTGGAGTGTAGTGGCACAATCTCTACTCACTGCAACATCCCCCTCCTGGGTTCAAGCAATTCTCCTGTCTCAGCCTTCCGACTAGCTAGGATTACAGGTGTGCACCACCACGCCCAGCTAATTTTTGTATTTATAGTAGAGACGGGGTTTCAGCAGTTTAGCTAAGCTGGTCTCAAACTCCTGACCTCAGCTGATCCACCCGCCTCGGTGTCCCAAAGTGCTGGGGTTACAGGCGTGAGCCACCACACCTGGCCTCTATCTATATATTTTTAATAGTTAAAATAATATATGTGTAATGTAAAACATTTGAAAAAGTCAGGAAAATACAAGAAAATAATATTTTCCATAATTATTAGTTAATTTAAAATTACTGTTTTCTTGGCATTTTGATATATATTATCTCACGCTTTTTATATATCTGTCTCTAAATACCTTTTGATATAAAAAGCAACAAATATGCAAATAAATTTGTGTTATAAAAGTATATTATCACTGTGCCCGATTTTGGCCAAATGCCTGAGAAGCAATGTGTGAATTATTTCTGTATTTTGAAACAATTTTTATTTTTTAATATGTTGCAAACATTTATTATGTCAAAAATATTCTCATATAAAATGAAATTTATTGACTCTACGGTAGTATATATTATTGCATAACACATAACTTCAACCGGTATCCTCTTAAAGATTTATTTATTTATATTTTCCCCATGTCAACATAAGAAAAATTTGCTCATAAAAATATTTTAAATATACTAATTAAAAACTATAATAAACTTTCTGTGCATATATTTGACTATGTTTTTAAAATAAATACTTAGAAATGAAGCCATTGGATCCAAATATATTAACAACATTAAAAATTTAAAACAGGCTTTCTCTTCTACAACAAATTATCACAATAAAGTGAACATAAAATTGATTAATGTACTATGCATCTTGCACAAATTTTAATGGCACAAATATGGCTTAGATTTAGTAACCATCAGTAACTACTGCCTTTAAAAACTATTGCCTGAACAACAGATATTGTATATTGTAATCATGTGGAATCAAGGCTATTAAAATGTTAAGAATAGATATTACCTGCCCTTCCAATATTAATGCCAGTTGTAATAGGAAAAAACAGATTTGGATAAAAAGCATAATATTATTAAACTCTGGATTTGCTCAGTGATGCTTAGACTTATAGCAATACATGCAAAGTATAAAACTACATTTATTATTGAAATTCATGGAAGAAAAATAACTGAGTTTGCTATATTTTATTATAAAAGTAAAGGTTTTACTTGGGAGAAAATGGTTAGAAACTAAAAAGTCCTAAACTTTCTCATTCATAACCATTTTTACTCATTTGCTCTTTTGCATCAGAGTTTTTTCTAATTTTTTTTTGATACGGAGTCTCACTGTGTTGCCCAGGCTGGAGTGCAGTGGCACGATCTTGGCTGACTGCAACCTCTGCCTCCTGGGTTCAAGCAATTCTCCTGTCTCAGCCTCCCAAGTAGTTGGAACTACAGGTGCCCACCACCATGCCTGGCTAATTTTTGTTTTTAGTACAGATGTGGTTTCACCATATTAGTCAGGCTGGTCTTGAACTCCTGACCTCAGGTGATCTGCCCACCTTGGCCTTCCAAAGTGCTAAGATTACAGGTGTGAGCCACCGTGCCTGGCTATAACTTTTTTAAAAATATAGTTTGTATTATAAAAGAGAATTGTACTTATTCCCAAAGTAATTTTATAAATAACAGAGCAAAATTATACTCTTGTTAGCAATGTTGAGATAATTCATTTATCTGCTTTTCTACTTATTTGAATATCATTTTGTGACTATTAAATGTTGAAAATTTCAATGAGCTGGATTGCATTTCTTTAATTACTAAAGTCTTTTTTTCCATATATATATTAGTCACTGTCATCTGTGCTTTTGTAAAAAAAATTATTCTATTCATAAAATTTATCAATTTTTCTTTTTAGTTGTTGCTATTTTAAATGGATCATTTAATCTGCATCTATTATTTAGGCGGGAGAAAAAATAAGAAAGAGCAGGTAACTAATTATATATTATTAGTAAATATGGAAGCACTTAATGTAAACAGTGTAGACAAAAAAAAATTTTACAAGTTATGTTTTTGACTAAGTTATGATTGTTAGATAATAAACATATACCCTCTTGGAAAAAAATGAAGTAACAATAATGTTTTACAGATATTTGTTTTTACCAGATGTTCAGATATGATCGAAAATATATACTCTAGAAGTGATTTCAGCAAGATGTCAGGCTAGCAAGCACTGACCTCTTCTTCCCTGACAGACACACTGACTCAGCAGCAGTACATTCATCAGTTATTTTTATGAGAAATTTAGCAACAAGCTTAGAGACTCCTGTACCCTAGGCAAGTGAGAAACCAGCCACTTCACAACTGGTAGAAGCAGTGGAGATACCTCTTGCCATAATGCCCACACCCAGCACAAACCCATATGATCAAGATGGAAGCCCTGCTCCCAGCTTCTCCTTGAGAAGCAAAGGAGTTAGAATGCACATTTGGTATCCCAAATTTTCAGCATGTTACCTGAGAGACTGTCTTCAATCTTGCTGGTCTCAGAGAGCTGACAGTATCTGGCATATGGTATCTGCTGATGGCTACGGAGAACAAAATGTTGTCTTGAAATAGTGAGTAGGCACTCAGTATAGCTCTACCCCTTGGCTAAACACAGAACTAGTGAGCAAATAACTCCAGTTACCAGTTTCTCTCTGGAGAGGAAAAGAGTCAAACCATACAGTGTTCCAACTTTTCTGGTAGCTCCCTAAGGAATTAACTTCTGCCCCACCTGTCTTGCCATGCTAATAGGCTCTGGCGTAATCTAGATGCTTGAGGGCTGCTAACAATAAAGACAATGGTTCAAACTACCACAAACATTTGAGTGGTCAGGAAGATTGGTGAAGGTCTTGTCCTATAGTAGGCCAATACAAAAATACTGGGAGAGGTGGCAGTTGTTTGTTGTTGTTGTTGTTGTTGTTTTTTAATGTAGGTACCAACGCAAAGAGGAAAACATGAAGAATGAGGGAAATAAGATCCAAAGGGACAAGAGAAATCTCCAGAAATTGATTCTTATGAAATGGAGGTATATTAATTATCTGACAAATAATTCAAAATAACCACCATAAAAATGCTCAACTAGCTCAGGAAAACAATGCACAAATAAAGTAAGAATTCTTTCAAAGAAATAGAAAATGTAAAAAGAAATTAAAGAAATCTTAGAGCTAAAGAACGCAATACTCAACTAAAAAAATTCAATAGAGGAGTTAACAGCAAACTACAGCACGCAGAAATAAAAGACTAAGTGAACTTAAAGATAGCTCATATGATATTATACAGTCAGAAGAACAAAAACAGAGAAGAATGAAAAAGAATAAAAATAGCTTAAAAGACTTATGGGATACTTTCAAGCAGACCAATATACGCGTATGGAAATACGAGCAGGAGAAGAGAGACAAGCACCAGAAAGCTTACTCAGAGAAATAACAGCAGAAAACTTTGTAAATCTGTGTAGGAGATGGATATTCCAGGGTAAAAATCCTAAAGGATTCCAAGTAAAATAAACCCAAGGAAATTCACACCCTGGATTCATACACCAAGACACATTATAATCAAATTGTCATAAACAAAGAGAGAATTTTTAAAGCAGCAAGAGAGAAGTGACTTGTGATGTATAAGGGAACTTTGTTAATATCATCACAAAATTTTTCTGCAGAAACCTTGCAGTTCAGAAGGGATTCGAATGCTAGGGTCAAATTGCTGAAAGAAAAAAAAATTGTCAATAAGGAATTCTATAACTAGTAAAAAATGTCCTTCAAAAATTAAAGAAAACAAAGACTTTTCCAACCCCTATCACCCAAAATTGAGCAAGTTCATCACTACTAGACCTTCATTAAAAGAAATGTTAAAGGGGAATTCTCATCTTGAAAAGATGCTAATCAGCAAAAGAAGAGCATAAAAACATATAAAACTTGTTGGTAAAGGTAAATATGTTGACATACAGAATACTCCATTACTGTCACAATGAAGTATATATTATTTCTTAATTCTACTATAAAAGTTAAAAGGAAAAGTTATTAAAACTAAGTATGAATGAAAATATGTTAACAGATAAGCAATATAAAGAGCCGTAAATTGTCACATGGATAACATAAATTGTGTATGGGGAGGAAGAAGTTAAAGTGTTTAGTGTTTGTATATGATTAAGTTAAGCTATTTCAGTTTAAAATAGCCACATGGTAGCCTCAATGAAAATACCTGTGTAAGTGTTACACAAAAGACAAGGTGAAAGGGATACAAAAATATGTAAACAAAAAGCAATCCCAAGGGAAGACAGCAAGAGAGGACAAGAGGAACAAAAGAATTACGAGACAAACAAAACAAAAAAGCAATAATAAATCCTTCCCCTTAAATAATTACCTTCAACATAGATGAATTAAACTTCTTCAATCAAAAGACATAGAGTAGCTTAATGGAAGGAAAAGAGTAATATCCAACTTTCTCCTCTCTGTAACAGATTTACTTTGGAAATCACACAGGCTGAAAGCAATGAGGTGAGAACAGATAATTCTTGCTAACAGTAACCAAGAGAGAATAGCGGTAGCTATACATATAACAGACAAAATACAGTTTAAATAAATAAAAAAAAAAAATTAGGGGACATTATATAATAAAAGGGTCACTCCGTGAGAAAGATATAACAGTTGCAAACATATATGCAACCAGTATCAAAGCACCTAAACATAAAGCAAACAGTGACAGTACTGAAGGGAGGAACTGACAACAATACAATGATACTAAGTGACTTCACTACCCATTTTCAATAAGAATAGAACAACCAGGAAGAAAGTCAACAAAGAAATGCAGCTTTTAACTACACTACAGACCAAATGGACCTAACAGACTTACACAGAACGTTCTACCCAACAACAGCAGAATGCACGTTTCTCTAGTGCAAAAAGAACATTATTCAGGGCTGGGCATGGTGGTTCACACCTGTAATCCCAGCATTTTGGGGGGCCGAGGTCGGAGGATCACTTGAGGTCAGGAGTTGGAGACCAGCCTGGCTAAAATGGCGGAACCCTGTCTCTAAAAAAAATACAAAAATTAGCGGGTTGGTGGCCCGCTCCTTTAATTCCAGCTACTCCGGAGGCTGAGGCACGAGAATCGCTTAACCTGGGAGGTGTAGGCTGCAGTGAGCCGAGATGGTGCCACTGCCCTACAGCTGAAAAAGGAAAGTTCCCTTCTCCCCCTCATAGGAAGTGCGACAGGGTTGTGGCTTGCTCCTTTGGTGGCCCTGCTGCTGAAGGCACTAGGGGGAGCATACAGACCACACGCACAGAGGCCATAGGGAGCACATTTGGGCTCCGGCCCCAGGGCAGCATCTAGGGGTGAGTGTCTGTGACTCCTGAAGCCCTAGTGGGCGTGTGTTACAATGTGCGCTTTCCGCTTTGCTGTCTGCAAATGGCTTGTGTTAATCAGCTCAATAGACCTTCCGTCTTATCGCAAGGGCTGAGGGCCAGTGTGACACCTTTCTGTATCCCGAGGTCTTGCCCAGGGTGCCAGGAAAATAGGATTACATGTGGGCTTGTAGGATGGGTGCAAGGCTTTATTGAGTGGTAGAGGTTGCTCTCAGCAAGATGGATGGGGTGCTGGAAGGCAGGGATGGAGCGGAAGTTATCTTCCCCTAGAGTCCGGCTATTCTCAGCTGAGATTCAGAGACCTCTTCTCTCCTTCTCTACCATGCGGCCCTGCTGCTCTCTGCCACTCTCTGCAGCTCTGTTCCTCTGCTCCTCTGGATGTTCAGCCGCTTGTGTCTGTGCCCGCTAAGGTCTCAGGTTTATATGGACACAGAATGGGGGGCGTGGCGGGCCAGAGTGGTCTTGGAAAATGCAACATTTAGGCTTGAAAACATTAGTATATGTTTTTAGCTTAGGTCTGTGGGCAGAAGCCCAGGGTAGAGCCCTTACCAGAGACCCCGCCCTTCTCTACCCAGCACTTCCCTGCCCTGCTCCGGTATTACAGCCATCACACCCTGGCAACAAAGGGAGACTTTGTCTCAAAAAAAAAAAAAAAAAAAAAACCCCAAAGGATTATAAATTATGCTGCTATAAAGACACATGCACTCGTATGTTTATTGCAGCACTATTCACAATAGCAAAGACTTGGAATCAACCCAAATGTCCATCAGTGACAGATTGGATTAAGAAAATGTGGCACATATACACCATGGAATACTATGGAGCCATAAAAAAGGATGAGTTTGAGTCCTTTGTAGGGACTTGGATGCAGCTGGAATCCATTATTCTTAGCAAACTATCACAAGAACAGAAAACCAAACACCGCATGTTCTCACTCATAGGTGGGAACTGAACAATGAGATCACTCGGACTCAGGAAGGGGAACATCACACACCGGGGCCTATCATGGGGAGGGGGTAGGGGGGAGGGATTGCATTGGTAGTTATACCTGATGTAAATGATGAGTTGATGGGTGCAGCACAGCAACATGGCACAAGTATACATATGTAACAAACCTGCATGTTATGCACATGTACCCTACAACTTAAAGTATAATAATAATAAATAAATTTTAAAAAAAAAAAAAAAGAAAGAAAAAAAAAATTCTTGGGATAGATCACATGTTACATTGCAAAACAAGTCCTAACAAACTTAGGGAAATGTAAATCTTAAGAAGTATCTTTTTCTGGTCACAATAAAATGAAACTGGAAATTAATAAAAGAAGGAAACTGAAAAATTTGCAAATATAAAAAGCAACACTTTTGAACAACCGATAGGTCAAAGGAAAAATCTAAAGAGAAATTAGAAAAAAACTTGAAACAAACAAAAATGCAAACACATCATTCTTAACTTATGGGATGCAACAAGAGTATCACTAAGAGGGAAGCTTACAGCAATAAACACCGTCATTAAAAAAGAAGAAAGATCTCAAACAACTTAACTTTATATCTCAAGGAACTAGAAAAGGAAAAATAAATAAACCTCAATTTACCATAAAGAAGAAAATAATAAAGAATAAAGCAGAAATGAATAAATTGGAGAATAAATGGAAATTGGAGAAAGCAATACCAACAAAACAAACAACAAAACTAAGATTTGGTGTTTCAAAAACATAAACAAAATTGGCAAACCTTTAACTAGACTAAAAATAGATGATAAATCTCAAAAAATAAATTCAGAAATTAAAGAGGGGATAATATGACCGTTGTCACAGTAATGCAAAGGATAATAACAAATAGAGATGAATGATTATACTCAAACTCGATAACCTAGAAAAAATGGAAAACTTCCTAGAACATACAACCCACCAAAACTGAGTCATTAAAATACAGAAAATATGAACAAACCAAGTTAAATCAGTAATCAAAAACCTTGTAACAGAGAAAAGTTCAGGACCAGACAGCTTAACTAGCAAATTCTATCAAACATTTAAAGAATAATTAATGCCATTTTTTTCTCAGACTCTTCTGAAATTCGAAGAGGAGAAAACAAAACTAAAACCATTTAATGAGGACAGCATTACACTGATATAAAAGCCAAGCAAAAACACGATAAGAAATCTTTAGGCCAATATCACAGATGAACATAAATCCATATATCCTCATAAAACACCATAAAACACTAGCAAATCAAATTCAGCAGCACATTAAAAGGATTATACACTATGACCACATGGGATTTATCCATAGGATGTAAGGTTGAGTCAACATATGAAAATTAATTAATTTGTTATATCACATTAGCAAAATGAAGACTAAAATCACACAATTACCCGAATAGATCCAGAAAAACCATTCGATAAAATTCAACACCATTTTATGATAACAACTCTCAATAAACTAGTAATAAAAGTAAATTACTGAATATTAGGCCATATATGAAAACCCCAGAGCTAACATCATGTTCAGTGTTAAAAAACTGAACGTGTTTCTACTAAGATCAAGATCAATAAAAGGATGCTCTTGTCATTTAAAAATTATTCCTGTTTGCAGGTTCAATATGCAGAAAATCCTAAAGACTACCAAAAATCCGTTAGAACTAATGAATAATCTTGGTAGGGTTTTAGGATACAAAATCAACATCCCAAAATTAGTAGTGTTTCTATATACAAGTGACTATCTGAAAAGGAAATTAGGAAAATAATCCCTTTACAATAGCATCAAAATAAAAAAATAGAATAAACAAAGAAAGTGAAAGCCTGATACATTTAAAACTATAAAATAGGTGAAAGAAATGAAAGAAGACATTTTAAAAAATGGGAAAGCATTCCATGTTCATGTACTAGGAAATGTGATATTGTGAAAATGTCCATACTACCCAAAGCAATCTACAGATTCAATGCAATCCCTATCAAAATTTCAATGTCATTTTTATGGAAACAGAAAATTCTAAAATTTATATAAAACCACAAAAGATCTCAAATAGCCAAATACTTTTGATAAAGAATAAAGCTGAAGGCATCGCACTTTCTGATGTCAAAATATATTAAAAAGACACAGTAACTAATAGTATGATGCTGGCATACATACATATAGACCAATGAAACAGAACAGAGAGCCCATAAATAAATCCATGCATATACAGTCACTGATCTTTGACAAGGGTGCCAAGAATACACAATGGGAAAAGTATAGTCTGTTATTAAAAATGAAGCTGAGAAAACTGGATATCCACACATATGCAAAAAAAAAAAAAAAAAAAAAACGCAATCAGATGTTTACGTTACACAATATACAAAAATCAACCAAAAACAGATTAAAGACTTAAACGTTAGACCTGAAATTGTAAAACTTTTATGAGAAAACATAGAAAATTTTCACTATATTGACCTTTGCAATGATTTCATAAATATGACACCAAAACCACAACCAACAAAAAAAAATACACAACAAGTGAAACTAAATTAAATTTAAAAGCTTCTGCTCAGCAAAGTAAACCATCACTAGAGTGGAAGGACACCCTACTAAATGGTGGAAAATATTTGCAAGCCATATACCTGATGAGGCGTTGAAGTTCAAAATTATTTAAAGGACTCCTATAACTCAATAGCAAAAGTACTGATAACGTAATTTTATGAATGGGCTAAGTGCTTGAGTAGACATTTCTCCAATAAAAATACAAAAACTCAACAGCTATATAAAAGGATACTCAACAGCAACTGCTTCATGGAAATGCAAATCAAAATTATAATGAGATATCACTACACACCTGTTAGAATGGCTATCATCAAAAATACAAAAAATAAGTATTGGCATGCCTGTAGAGAACTTAAAACACTTGTTCATTGTGTTGGGAATGAAAGATGGTGCAGTCACTGTCCGGAGCTGCACGCCCCGGGCATAGCGAATAATAATTAAGGATTAAACGCCTGAGCTATATTCATTTCCACCCCACACCTTCTCCCTATCTTTGCCTTTTTTCCCCTGTACTAATACCTCATTAAAGATGGCGCTCTTCCTGCTTCTTCTTCACTCACTTTTCCCGGGCCGGGAAAATTGTTACTTAATAGCGCAAGCGCAACATGACGTCCCACCGGAGAAACCGAAACTAACCTGGCCACGCCCTCGGCAATGAGATCATTTCCGCCTTAGCCCAACTCCTTCCCTTCCAAGTGTATATAAGGCAGTGCATTACCGCCATTAAACGAGACTTGATCAGAGCACTGTCTTGTCTCCATTTCTCGTGACTCATGTTCCCCAAATTCCCACCCCCTCCTCCAGGGCCTGCTCTGACTATCCCGCGGGCCGGGATAAGTCACTATGGAAAACAATATGAAGGTTCTTCAAAAAACTAAAAATATGACTATCCTATTATCTGGCAAGTACATTTCTGAATGTTTACCTCAAACGATTTGAAATTAGGATCTCGAAGAGATATTAGCACTCGCATGTTTATTGAAGCATTATTTACAATAATCAAGATGAGAAAAAAACCTAAATATCCCCCAAAAGGGAAGTGGATTTTTTAAAATGTGATATATACATACAATGAAACATTATTCAGCCTTAAAAAAATGAAATCCTACAATATGTGACAACATGAATGAAATTTGAGAACATTATGCTGAGTGAAATAAGCTGCATGAAAGAACAAATACAACTATTGCATGATTTTGCTTATATGAGGCCTCTAACATAGTGGGAACTCACAGAAGGAAAAATTAGAATGGCAGTTGTCAGGGACTGAGGGAAAAGAAAATGAGTTGTTGTTCAATGAGTATAAAGTTTAAAGTTCCAGCCATACAAGATAAATAAGTTCTAGAGATCACATGTACAACATAGTGCCTATAGTTATACATGCAGTAATGTGCCCTTAAAAATTTTTTAGGAGAGTAGTTCTCATGTTAAATGGTCTCACAATAATAATAACAACAACAACAACAACATACTCTAACAATTACAATGACATTGAGCAAAAACTTACCTTTTCTATGAGCTTTGTTATTATAGGTTAGTTAAGACTTTTGCCCTTTTTTGCATTTTTGCTTTTTTGAAAGAGAAACAAAAAAACATGTTTTGTTTTCAATAAAGTCACTCCATTCTAATGGTTTTACCATGTCGATGACCACAGCTATTGTTTCTCATTAATTATGTATTCATATTGGTATATAATAACAAAAATATAATTATAAATTAATTCATTGTTAATTAATGTAAAATTTTGCCCATTTTTCAATAGCAAATTTAATTTTCAATTACTAATATTCTTGGGTCTCCACAATATCTTTCCAATGTGTCATAGTTGCTAAATTACTTATTGTAGTAAGTGTAGCATATATATTTATCATTACCTGAAATAACATGTAATTTCTATCAAATGCAATACTGAACCATAGTGTGAAACCTAGTAGTTTTAATGTGTTTAAAAAGACTATATTATCTATATATGCAGTAAAAACAGTAACAAGTTTCAGTGGAACGTTTGCCTAGAATGACAAAAGACAATGGGGATAATTAGTCTTTCACAATAAAATGAAAAACATCCTAAGAAATGCCCATATGTTTTGGAGATTCATAGAGAGACTCATAATTGTGTCCTAGCTGGAAGCATGATCATATTATTCTGGATGATTACTTATGGTCAATCCTTTTCACATTTTATTTGTATTTAGATAACAAAGACTTAAATACTAAAGAAAGATTTAAATAAAAATGAGTTCTAAAAGATTGTGTTAGAAGAAGAAAATCAACCTCCTTCTTCCAGTGTGAGATCTTAAGAAGATCAAGGGCTTATGTTAACATTTATATACCACTTTGGCATAACTATTCTGACTCAGCTCCAACCAGTGTCTCAAAAGAGCCTGATTAAAATGGTAGGTGTGAAACTGTGACTGAATAGCAATGGGACAAGCTGAAGCTAGCCAGGTTCTTTAATTATGGCATATAATTAGTGAAACAAAGAAACAAAACAAAACTCACAAAAATCATATTCTGAAAAACATATATACATATACACACACACACACACATATACACACACACACAAAACTGATTTCTTAAGGATGTAGTTTGGTTAAAGATCTTCTTTTGAAGTACTGTTCATCTCTAGCTTCATAACTGAGTTCACATAATCTCCATTTCTATTTGCTTAACTCTTCACATTCTTCTGCCTTGAGATAAATCTCTTTTTGATTCTTGTACAATTCTAATTTGACTTGGATTTTTTGGCACTGCCAATGAGACTACTCTGAAAAGAAATTTTATTGAGGTGTAATTCACAAAATTTGTTCTTACCTCCTTTGTAATTCTTTCCCGTTCTCCTTAGAATTCTTCTTAACCCATCTTAAGGAACCTACTTATCTACTTTTTGTCCCTATAGATTATTTGGCATTTTGTATAATTTTATAGAAACGGAATAATATATCAAATCTTTTGTTTCTTTAGCTTATTTCCCTCAGCATTATTTATTTAGATTCATCCATACTGTAGCGTGTATGTATATTCTTTTTTATTGCAGAGTAGTATCCCATTGTACAGATGTAACAGTCTGTTCATAAGTGTATCTGTTGGTAGACATTGTATTTATTACCAGTTTGAGGTTTTACAAAGAAAGTTGTCATAAACCTTAATGCACAAATCTTTGTATGGATATGTGGACTATGGAATGATTGGATTTTGGAGTCATTGTTTGTAAACTTTTTAAGCATTTGCCAAACTGCTTTTCAAGTGATTGTGTCATTTTAAATTCCTCTTGGCAGTTTATGAGAGTCCTGAATCCTTCATTTTCCAGCACATTTTGTAGTGTTTTTTTGTTTGTTTGTTTGTTTGTTTGTTTTTGAGACAAGGTCTCACTCTGTGGCACAGGCTGGAGTGCACCAGCATAATCTTATCTTACTGTAGCCTCAGCCTCCCTGGCACAAGTGATCCTCCCACCTAGGCCTCCCTTCTGAGTAGCTGGGATGACAAGTGAGCACCACACCCATCTAATTTTTATATTTTTTGTAGAGACAGGGTTTCACCATGTTGCAAGGCTGATCTCAAATTCCTGAGCTCAAGCTATTCACCCATAACAGCCTCCCAAAATGCTGGGATTACAGGCTTGCACCACTGTAGTTAGCCTGTGTAGTAATTTTAATTGTAACCATTCTAATAGTTGTGTTGGAATTTTGTTGTAGATTTTTTAGTATACTCATAACCTGTGCTTATTTGGCATCTGTATACAGATGGAACCTAGAATTGTTGAACCTAGAACAATTCAAGGGTTGCAGCACTGAGCCCTCCACAGTCAAAAATCCACTTATTACTTTTGATTGATCACACTTAACTATTAATAGCCTACTGTTGACCAGAAGCCTTACCAATAGCATCAACAGTCAATATACACATGTTTTTATGTTACATGAATATATACTATAAATATACTTATTTTATTATTAATACAATCAAGTAAGATAGAGAAAATAATGTTCTTAAGAAAACCAAAGAAAGATTAAATATATTTGCTATTCAATAAGTGGAAGTGGAGCATGATAAAGGTGTTCATCCTCATTGTCTTCACACTGAGTAGGCAGAGGAGGAGGAAGAGGGGTTGGTCTTGCTATCTCAGGGGTGGCAGAGAAGAAAGAAGTAGAGGAGACAGAAAGGGAAGCAGGAGACACAGGAACACTTAATTTAATTCTTATTGAAAAGAATCCTTGGATAAGTGGTCCCGTGCAGTTCAAACCTGTATTGTTCAAGGATCAACTGTACCATCTTTGGTGAAGAAGTCCATTTTATCACTTCATTTTTTTCAGCATCATCCTTTTGCTGAAGTATCTAAGAAATCTTTGTATATTACGAGTCACAAAGGTTTTTTCCTATATTATAGAAAATTAAATTTTACATTTTACATTTAAGTCTATGATCCATTTTGTGTCAATTTTTATACAGTGTGAAGCATATATTTAAGCTTAATTTTGCATATGCATATCTAGTTGTACCAGAATTGTTTATTGAAAAGTTAGTTGTTTTTATATATGTGGGTCACTTTTGAACTCTTCATTTTATTTTAATTATCTACTCATTTAACACAGATGCCATTTTGTCTTTATTACTCTTATTTTAAAATAATGTATAAATTATGTCATTAATTACATAAATGTTTTCTTAAAGTTTTTTTCTTTAATCTATGTTATGACTGTCACATTTTCATTGAGTTTTACAATTAATTTATCAATTTCTACAGAAGAAAAAAGACAAACAAAATGACAAAAAAAAAAAAAAAAAAAAACAGAAAACCTCCTGAGGGTTTGCTTGGTGTTATCTTTAATGTTTACATCAATTTAGGAAGGCTTAGTATTTTGATAGTAATCAGTTTTCTAATTTATGAATATGGTATAACTCTCCATTATTTAGTTCATTTTAAATTTATCTTAGCAATGTTTCCTGGTTTTGAGTGTAAAGGTCTTGTACATATGTTGTCACTTCCTGTTAAGTGATTTTATATTTTGACACTATTTAGATTGTATTAAAATTTTAATTTCTAATTACTTGTTGCTAGAATATAAGCACGACTTTTTTATGTTGATTTTGGATCTAGTGTTCCTGCTAAACTCACTTACGGTTTCTAGAAATATAAGGGAGCTTCCTTAATCTGATAAAAAGACATTGTGTAAAACTTACCTGTAACCTTATCTTTCCCTCTGAGGATGGGAGGGCACAAAAAAATAAATTATTTTTTTTTACACTATCCGTGAATTATACTGATTACTTTTTCAAATGTCAAATATGGAATAAAGTACACTTGGGAATTTTTTTTTTTTTTTTCCTTTTTGAGACCGAGTCTCACTCTGTTGCTCAGGCTGAAGTACGGTGGCATGATTTTTGCTCACTGCAGCTTCGACCTCTTGGGTTCAGTTGATCCTCTCACCTCAGCCTCCCAAGTAACTGGGACTACAGGCAAACACCACATAATTTTTGTATATTTTGTAGAGATGGGGTCTCACCATATTGTTTAGGCTGTATTTGGACATTTTGTTACTTCTTAAGGCGGCTG